AAAATGAACAAAGGTGGGCAATTTCATTGGTTGATGTAAATCAGGTGACTGGCGAGAGTCATCCAGCGTTTTGATTGACTGTTCATTTTTCGGGGGGACTTCAGCCGAAAAATTAACTTCAAACGGCCTAATTAGTATATGAAATACCCCAGTGTAACATCAACGTTCCCTCCTGTTGTTGTTGGGTAAACAAGAATGTTCAGGACAATGTGCAAGTTAATATGCCATAAGTTTAACGGATAATCTTTTACAAGACCATTGACATTAATAATCACTGGAAAAAGGTATCCTGACTTAATATGGCAATTTAATACACCAAAATGACAATGACAAATACATAGTTGTGCGTCGCAGGTCAGACTCAACTCGCAAAAAAGCAATATAGGACTTACAGTAACCCATGTGGGTACGAGATCACACTTATTCAGAAGGAAAATTAGATGTTTATGACAAGCATCCTTTTTCAAATATTGTTCCACATTTCTGCATCGTGTACCGATGGGATCACGAGCGTCCAATACATGAATTACAACATCTGACGAATCTATAACCTTGTACGTTTATTAAAAATAACAACATAATTTTCGATGTGTTATGCGATATTCAATGATCGTTCATAAATACATGTATTGTTGTACAAAATATAATATACCTTATATAGCTCGTTCCATATCCGCCTGGATTGCCCTTTAGAAAATACACTATCTCTTGCTTCGTCAATCCAATCTGTTATTTTGTTAGATAATAATGATGGATCGTTTTTCTCCTCATAATGTTCCAAAGATTGACTAGTACTGTTAAGTAAATCTTCCAAAGAGCCAACGTTCAATTTTGGTCGTTTTCGCTGTGCTTTCGGGCCAAAAGTATCTGAAAATGGTTCCGTATCGACCATATGCATTCGTGATATCTATACACATGCGTATCGGAAGTTTATACTTTGCATGATGATAAAAGAGAAAATTTGATTGTAAAGAATAGATTACGTACTTTTGCCGGATCAATTAATAAACTCATGGGCAATTTATTTTGTCGAAGTAGTACTTGATAAGGATCATTAACCTTTGTTCCCAAACTTTCGCGAAAATCCTCTAATTGTTTTTGACCGATGACTCTAGTGTTACCTATTAATCGTTTGGATTGTTAGTACTAATGAATTATAATAAGATCAGAATAAATTATCTAATAATTTCGATCGCAATTCAAATATATTAAAAGTACGAATCAAATAACCTTAAAGCACCATTTCAAAGCCATTAATATATAAACGTTTCAAGTATCTACCCATTGATCATCAATAACTCACGCTTAATCATATTTTGGGTTCACTTTAACTTACCGAACCATCGCCTATCTGGCTGTACTCTTGCGACTGTAACATCCTTGCCTTGATAAGGTGCCGATTTAACAATTTTTCCTTTTGAATTCCTAATTGCCTTCCCCCCTTTGAGCATTTTGACAAATCTGACTTTTTTTGCATCTCGATAAAAATTCTCTCCTTTTACTTTTAAGTTACTCGCCACCGTAGAAGTAGCCAGCCCACCATTGCTTTGCTCCAGACAATAATTCATGTAACAAATAAATAAACAATTTAATAAATAAAAAAAATTTTTTTTGGGACT